TTTGCCGCTGAGCTAAATCCCCAGCCCCGTATCCCAGTTCTTTAAGTGTGAGTGCAGCATATCTGCTCAAGGGGCCACACGCCCACAATTCTCATTCTCCGTGACTTCCTCAGCCTCAATCTCTTTGTCAGTAATTGCGGGGTGACAATTTTCTACCCTGCACGCATTGTAAAGTTCCTGGGTGAAAATATGCAACTATAGATACGAAAATGCCTTACAGGCAGTGAAGACCTAAACAAGCCTCAGAGACTGTTGTTATCACTGCCTGCTCCCTCACGAGGAGAACTGGAGAGACTGTGAGGTGGGAGCTAGAAAAAAGTTTTAGCACAAATATTGGAAAAGAATTGGCAGAGATCATAAGAAGGAGGATCAGCTTGAGGTACGGGGACCTTTCCCTTTGTTTTGATACTAAATCTCTGGGCCTTGCTATTTCCATGTGGCCAGAGGGGGAGAGGCCCACAGAGGTCATAGCAATTTTTGAAATTGATGAGCTGAAAACTCACCTGCCCATTGCTTCAGGCTGGACATTAGCGGAGATGATGAATTTCTCACTGCAGCAAGATGTACTTCGAATCCCAGAATCTTTGAATGTCAGGCCAGGAAAAGAACTGGAGATTGTTTAGCCCAGTCCTCTCCTTGTACCCAAGAGATACTTATGGGCCAGAAAAATTGAGAATTTAATGCAAGGTCACCCAGCGTGTATGGGTATAATGGAAGCATTTGGCTGCCTGTTTGAAGCTATGGGATAAAAGTATCCATGCATATTTCTTTTATTTTTGGTACTGGGAATCGAGTTCAGGACCTTGTGCTTGCTAGGCAGGCACTTGTGCCGCTGAGCTATGTCCCCAGCCCTCCATGCTTATTCCTGTAGGAACCTCTGTAGCAGTGGTGAACATTTTAGAGTTTTCAGTGATGATAAACAGCCAGCTGCAGCATGTGTGTCATAGGCTCACCACCACTGCTGTATTGGATGGCCAGCCCTGTCTGAAACCACTGAAATTTCAGAGCAGACTTGGAAAGTGGGTCATAGATCTCAGAGATCACAGAGGTGAGGTTTCCAGGGCCTGCAGAAGACCCACAGTCTGGGAGCTTTATTTCTGGGCTTACCTGATAATGTTCCAGAATTTCAGCCTCCCCAGCAGCTTAAGGGTAGAGTCAAGATCACCTGTCCTGTTGCCATCATTATCTCGTGTCTGACCCTCAGTGCCCAACTCTCATATTTTGATATTTTCTTTCCTTCTTCTCATATTTCCTTCTAAATATGAAATACATCCTCTCACTGAAGATAGAGTCTTCATTTACTTAGATTTCCAAAGATTTTTACAGGCTGCCATTCTAACCACCAGTGAAATGATCCTCACAGCTCTAAGAAGGAGGTGTAATTATCCCCTGCACTTTACTGATGAGGAAACTGAGGCTATGGCAAATAAGGCAACTTGTCTACCATCTCATCATTGTGAGGTGGTAGAGCACGTATCTGAACAGAGGAGTGGAGACTGACGTGTTCGTTCTTTAATCTCACTCTGATGGATGCTGTCAGTACCCCTACCATCTCTAAAATTTGGTGATGTTGGACATGAACTCAGCTATCTCTAATGAAGTGAGGAGGATCAGGGTGTCTGGAGGCACTTAGCCCTGGGTTCAAATCTGCTGCATCACTTACTTATCTAATCTCTGAGAGCGTAGACAGGTAAAATGTCAGCACCTACTTCAATGGGTTCTTTTGAAGTCTAAATGCGATGCTACTGCCACAGGGGGCACAATACTATAAAACTGAAAGCACTGCCCAAAGTTTAGTACTGATTAACATCATGATAGAGTTGCATTTTGTCCCCTCTCTGCTCTTCCCTGACCCACCTGTCCTCATCCAGATTGCCACAGTTAGCTGTTGAGCAGCAGTAACTGTGCTCCAAGAACTCTGCTGAGTGCTTTTGATTCTGTTGTGTATTCAGTCACCATCATGATCCTGAAATTAGGATCAATAGCCCATTTTTCAGAACAGGAAGCCAAGACCAGGGAGTGTTGTAAGATTTGCTCAAGATCCAGTAGCTGGTGGGTGACTAGCCACAATTTTTTTTCATTGCATTATCTTTCACAGTCTAGCACATCCTTCAACCGGGATGCTGTTAAAGCAGGAACTGGGCGTCGCTTCCTTGGTGGACTCCTGGACCACACTTCCTATTGTTATACCCTAGAGGTCTCCTTCTACAGCTACATCATCGGGGGCACCACAGCTGCTGTGCCCTACACTGAAGAAGCCTGTATCCTTGGAGGTTCCCACTAACCTGGACCAGCCCTTATTCAGCCAGGAGTACCGCAAGCTTGGCAGCACTTACTAGGTAGGTCAGGAATCAGGTGCCCACTTAAGAAAGGTCCAAACTCTGGGGTAAGGATGGAGGTAGCTTGTTCTGCTAGTGGCATCTTTGTTTTACCCTCTTTGCCCCTGACCTTCATATGTGGACATTCCCACATGGCTGCTGCCAGATCTCAAGACTCCTCAAGTTCTCTGGGACCCATGGGCCTCATATCATTTCTGCTGCTCTTGTCTTTTTCTCCCTTCCCCTCTCTCGAGAGGTAGTGAGCTTTCCACTCTTTGAGATCTGTAAGCACCCAGGCTATATATGACACCCCAGGGTTACTGAGGAAGATACCTCCTTCTAACCCAGAATGTGTAACACCATCCCATGTTTTTCTTTTCTTTTTTTATTTTAAAGAGAATAGTAGAAAAAGAACAATAGCAAAATGCCAATATCACAGGCATAAACCAAACAAAGCAAGAATATTAAAAATGATACAGGGTTTCAAAACAAAATGATAGGAATTGACAGTGGTTGCTAGATTACATATTGTTATCTTCAGCAAAGTTGCTCAGATTACCAGATATAAGAATGGAAGATTGTTCAAACCACTAAAGACCATAAAAAAATAATTATTACAAAGACATTAGAGATGATACAGATTTCACTAGACAAGATGGTAGGAATTCATTGATGGTTGTTCTATTCAATATTGTCTTCAAATCAGTTGCTCAGATTACCAGGTATAAGCGTGCAAAATTGGTCAAAATATAAAAAAATTAAGCGCTAACTGTTCCTTTCAGTAAACCACCAGACAGCAGCAATACAGTTAGTAGCTTCTTGTACTCTTGCTCTCTCTTTCTTTTCTCACTACCATTTTTCTTTTTTCTTTCCACTCCATCTCCCTGCTCCTACCTCACCTCTCCTGTACTTTCCCCTCCCTACTTCTTGTCTAATCTCTCCTGTCCTTACTGTCTCCTCCTTCTTCCTATCCTTCTTTCCTCTCTTTCTCTCCCCTTTTTCTTCCTTTACCTTCTTTGCCTTTCCCCGCTCCTCCTCCACACATCTGTCCTTGTGCCTTTGTATTTCATTTGACAAATGCTCTGCCTCTTAGTTTTCTCATAAAATTTCTCTGAAAACTCCTAAGCTTGCCATGAGGAAATTAGAGGTTACCTTGTAGCTTGCTTGATTTTTAAAGGGATTATTTAGCAATTCTAGCTCCTGACTGTTGATTTTAATTTCAGAGTCACTATATCAAGGCTGTGACAGATTGTGATAGATTCTGCTTTCATTTTTTCCTTTGTTTTTAGATTGATCCATTTTTCTTTTTACAAACCTTATTTTTCTCAGAGGAAAAAAAACTTATATCTTAGGGAGGAAAAAGGAAGAGGATGGAATGGTCTCTGTCTGACATTGTCCTTATTCTGGGGGACTGGATTCAGAATGGGCTTGGGAGGCTGATTATATATGCAAACTCTCCCTTCCCAGAGGAATAAGTGCTCCTTTGACCCTTTCTTCAACACTTAGTGTGTGTTTACAGAGTTTATACCATACTGCGCAGAGAAACACCTGTTCTGCTAGCGACATGACCTGGTCAGTTGTAGTGTGGTGGCTCTTTCCTGGGAACATGAGAGGCAGTGTGATGGCTTGGGAAGGCCCAGCAGGGGTAGGGGTAGGCCAGGGGTAGGGGTCAGCAGTGGTAGGCCAGAGGTAGGGCAGGGTTGCAGACCACTGGACAGATCATCATAAGAACAGAGAGACCCCTCCCCTAGTCGCCAAGACAGAGTCCTCTTGGAGTCTACTTTGTTTTAGCAAAGCCAAGGGAATATGGTCTGCTCTGAGGCAGGAGACCCATGGTTTCCAAAGCCTTGGCCATCTTTAGGTGCCATTCTACTCCCTCCCTGGGCACATGTGATGATATGTGGTTTATGACTTCTGCAGCATCCTCTAACTCCTTAATACTTGCATAAGTCGCGCTGTGCATAATACCTGCTTTTTCCTCCTACAACACTATGACAAAAAAGACAGAGAAATTTGCCTAGAAGATGAATTTGAGCTTGTGCACTAAAGGGGATCCAACAACCCAAACCACAATGAGACATGGGTCCCTCTGGAGGAAGCCTATATTTAGTTTTTCATTGTTCTACGATATCCAATTCTATGGATTTGCTTTCCCTTTCTTAGCACTTCCAATGTGCTTCTGTGATGGCATTAAATGAATTTTTGTAGACTATCGCTCCCCCAGGTCAGACCTAGGGTTTCTGGTCCTCAATATTCACTTGTCATTAATCCAAAGTCAAACATCTTTAGGTTGATGTTCCAGGAATCATACATGGCACCTAGGGTAAAACATTGAACAAGAAGACATGGCACTTGACTCACAGAGTTTTCATTTCATTTCATTGAGGAGAAAGAAGGGGAATGGGATAACTAAATTATGTGTGACAAGTTCTGTGATATAGAGATTTTGAAAGGCTATGGGATATTTGAATTTAACAAGTACATATTGGATGCCTACCATAGGTCGGGTGAAGTTCTAGGTGCAGGAAATATAACAGTGACAAGAACATCTTTACATGCAGATGAGAGAGAATTTAAAAATGCTCCTGGGAGTCAGGAAAGACTTTCCTAAGGAAGAGATATCTCAGCTGAGTTTCAAGACTGGGTAGAAATCAATCCAGTGTGACTGGGGGTGGGCTGCTGGAGAGGAGACCTTGAAGTCAAGAGGGGAGAAGAAGAAAGGTGCATGTCAGGAGCTGTAAGTGGCGCGATATGACTGAAGGACTTCAGACACGACAGAACGCAGGCTGTCTGGAATTTGCAGTTGAATATGAAGACAATGAAGAGCAATAGAAGGACTTTAAGTAAGAGTGGAAAGCCATTCGGGCTCCAAGGACCATTCGGCTACATCAAGAGGCTGCTACAGTGATCCCCACGGGAGGGAGTTCGGGATGGTGCTGCGGGATATTTAATCAAACTGAACGGCCTTGGAAATGAGTGGATGAAAGTGACCGCGGAGACAGGCACTAGTGACTGCAAGGAGTCAAGGACGAAAAGTGATGCCATGATGCTGTTGGAGCCACCCTACCTTTTTCTGCCATCCAGAGGCTAAAAAGAGGAAACTGGAGTTGCACCAGCAAAGCACTGATTCAATGCACACAAGGGTGATTTAACCTGGTTCCTCTTTGAAATACATTTTTTTTCAAACTCATCTCATAACACAGAGAGACTTCAGGCAGACAGATTGTGATCTTTGTTGGCTGCTGGCTCCATGTCCCAGTCAGAAAAAGAAATTACATGGTCTGATGGGAATGGCAATATGGTCTGGGAGGAAGTGTCCTCTAGACGGGCAATCAGGAGACCTGCCGCTGATGACAACACCAGTCTCACCCCAGAGAGCGCTCTTCCGCAAGTCCGCCAGCCTGTCTGACGCGAGCTTCCTCACCTTCACAGAGTGCTGAAAACTTTCGCACTTTTCTAGCCCCTGGTGTGGGAGTGAGATAAAGATATTCATGAGAAAGCGTGATGTTATGCAAAGAGAATAGATGTGAGATTCAGACATGCCTGGGTTTACATTGTGGCTCAGCCATTTACTAGATAAACCACCTAAAAAGCAAATGCCATACACTCACTGGGGTTCGGTGTCCCTAACATGTAGTAGAAGGTGTACTACTTAACTTCACTGAGTTGTGATGAGGTTAAAGGAAATAACATATGTAATTGCTCACCATAAATGAAGTATTAAATGATTATTGGTCAAGCCATTGAAAAGGTTTATGTGAATGAGGCCCAGTATTTATGTTAAACATCAGAGATAAATCTTCATAAAACCCCAGCTGGTACAGACACTTGGGAGATGTGCACTTCCTGTAATGGAGTGCCCTGTGCCTTCCCCAATAATCAGGACACATGGCGACCAGATTAGTTAGCCAGAGGAGCTGGATGGGACCAGGGAATGGGTGGGCAGGCAGGAAATCCTGAGGGATATTTCATCCAGACCAGAGCAAATGCACCTGCCAGTTCAATTTTCCTCCCTGGAAAAGCACCAGCTAACCATAACCTGGGTCTTGTTCTCTGACTTTCCTTCTTCATGACCTTGGAGAAATAGAGCAATGATCAGTCACTGATGCTTCCCCACCTGTGTGACCTTGGGCTGGTTATCTAACCGCTCTGAGCCTGTTTCACCAGGCTCAGTGAAAATAAAATCACATCCACGCTGCAGGGTTATCAGGAGGGTGAAAGGATGACCATATCCTCAATTCCCTGGCACTCCTGGCCACTGATAGATACTCAGCAGTGCTGTGTGCCACTTTTCTCAGCTCTGTGCAGAGCACAAGGCTTTCCTTCTGTTGTTGGAGTCTTTAACCCAATGAATGCTTTGAAGGAAGCAAAGAATGGGGGCTTGGATTCTTCACCACTATGACTACATGGCCTCCAATAAGCCTTGTCCCCTCTCTTAGGTCCAGTGTGTAATGCTTCCTGCCTGTCAGAGTTGTTGTGGAATAAAATTATATGTGAACTTGATCACTACTCTAATCTCTCCCAGTTTCGACGTCATAAAGGTTTTCTGATTCTAAAATCTAATGCTATTCTTAGGTGCATGTATGCCATAAGAACCCATGAGCCTTTGATTCTGTGAACATAAAGGCTTCTAATCTAATAATGAAAATCAGTAAAAAGTACCCTAGACAGCTAAGCAAGCCAAAGCAATAGCCACTTTCATTCTTTTGGCTTAAGAGTTTTGAATCAGGGGACCTTTCATGGACTCCAAGAAGAACAATTATGATCTAAAATCTAGATAAGTAAATACATAGAGTTTATTTGGGGGAAGAAGGGACCTTGCTTACAACAGAACATAACAGAGGGTCATCTTCAATGCTTCCCAGGCTGGTGGCCCCAGAAATTCTCTTCTGTCACACTGTGACAAGACTACAGCTCAGTGTCAAAGTCCCGGGTGTGCATTC